TTTGGGCACAAGAAGGTTTTAACGGATATGTAGTAGAAGAAACTTAGAGTCGACACTTTTACTCGGATTTTAAAGGTCAAGACTCGACTTAGATTACAAGTGTTTACGAAGATAATTGAACAGAAAAAGGGTATCAGGCGTTTTATTGGAGACACAAATATAAGTATAAACTACTTAGAGTTACTATTTCTACTTGTTATGTTTTCGAAGTGTTTAACACAGCTAAGTTATCTTTATTTCAACGCGAAAAGTCTTTTTTTTAAAATTTTTACAGGGTTAAGAATACACAGGCTCTACGTTTGACAAATTCGCTATTTAGATAGGTAGATATAAAATCTATTTCAACTTAACGGCAACATACGACAATGAAATTACATAGTCTAAAGTTTATTTTAGATTTTAATCTTTTATAGTTGATCGGCTTAACTACAATCAACAACAATAAGGCACTAATGCAATATATGCTTCTACTTCGTTTCTAACACCAATATCCAAATTTAATTCTTTGAATACAAAATTCAATTATTGCCTTAGCATTTTCCTCGTTATTAAGGTGACGAATTATCAATTTTTTTAAAGGAATATTGCAATTATTAAGTAAAATATCAATATATGAATCTATACAAGTATCACTTATATCTAGATATTGCAATGTTATTGGCAATAATTTTGCAAACTGCATAACTTGTATGTTTAGTTCTTCAGGTATCTTGTCATCAATGCAGCATAACGCGAAAATTGAGTTTTTGTAAATTACCAATAAGCTCCTGGAGTTGTGTAGAAAACCCTATATTCCAAACATTGAGATATGTAATGTTTGGTCAGAATGACTTAAGTGCATTTAGTAATAAAGACTGTTCCCAAATTCCGTTATCCAATCCAATTTTTAATCATTTTAGTGAAAGGTCAGGCTTTTCTAAAATTTGTACAGTCGCACCCCCTAAGTCACGCACGGTATATGATAAACTCCCCTAAGTGCACACCTCTTTTGGTCCCAAATAATATAACGATTATAAATTTTAACTCCTCTAAATGCACACCCTCTCTAAGTGAACATTTTGCCTTTTTTTTTTACTATGGCCCCGAGGGTGTGCACTTAGAGAGGTGCGACTGTACTATAGTTGGTACATCTGGAAATCAACTATCTCTAAAGTGGTGATTTTATAATTTAATATTTTCAACAGTTTGTATTGCAATTTCTATTTATTGTAACTTCTTGTAATAACTCTCTAAAGTTGAAATGATGCCATGGAACTCTGTACGTAAAGGTAAATCTTCTTCACCAACTAAGGCCGTTCGAAGTTAATTTTTTGGTTAACATCATTTTCCAGAACTCTCGAAAGGGGGGGAGGTGGGTAAATGAAACGAACATATAAAATGAACAAACTATTTTTAATGTAGTAAATCTATTGACTTCAAGTTAAATTTAGTCTAGAGTCTAGTTGAGTTGCTAATTAGGTCAGATAAATTTGATTCAGTAGTTAACTTTACATTCCTATTATAAAAGAGAGGAGCAAAAAATAAATAAGTAAATAATTAATTATATAATGCATTCATTCGAGAAAAAGAACTTCATACGTACAATTTTTACAGCCAAAACTCTCGTAATCTAGTGATTGGATCTACAAGTACGTATGTATGCAGCAATCACAGATAATACAAATTTTGTCCTTCATTGAATGAAATAAATCACTGATCGGATGGCTTAAAAAATGTAAAAAAGTATCAATTCGTATAATTGATTTGTAATTGTTATTTCCGTAAAAGTTAAATGTTTATTTAAATACTAGTTCTCTCTGAATAAAAAAACACTTCGGAAGCTCTTTTTTCGGCAGTTTTTCTTGAATCGTTTCATCACAAACTGAAATAAGCATACATGAGAGGACAACCAAGTGGGAACTAAAAATTTTAGCTTTATTTTTTTTATTTATCTTTTTTCACTTTTTTTTTTAAAAAAAAATTTATTTTTTTATTTTAATTAGCCGGGACCATAAAAAGCCGTGGGTTTAAACTTTTAATTTATTTTTATTTTTATTTAATTTAAATTATTTTAATTTAAATTATTTTATTTTAAATTATTTTAATTTAATTTAATTTAATTTTTAAATTAATTTTATTTTAATTTATTTTAAATTATTTTTTATTTTATATTTGCCGTATAACCGCTAAATAGCGAATAGGGAGTTATTTCGTGGTTATACGGTATTTTTTAATTTTTATTTTTTTTATATGTTCATTTTACCGGGGACATCAAAGGGGAGGGGAGGGTGATGTTAACCAAAAATTTAACTTCGAACGGCCTTATTTCATATCGAGCTTTAACTCGGTAGGCAACGCCAAAAATCCGGAACAAAACAAGCAAAGCACTTACAATAATAAATACATTTATCTATACCTATACACTCTCTATTTTAAGGGCGTTCTCAAGCGCCTCAATTAATGGATCAAAGTATGTCAAAAATGAGTCAGGAATTAAATTTTAATTAGCGGAAAGTAATTTTAATCGATCAGTCGAGCTTGTCATAAGGTAGTTTATTATGTGAAAATTTTTTTTTAAATAGTAAAAAATGTTCGGTGAGTTTGCCATTTCAGTCAAAAAACTTTTTGTCCCTAGTCACCTTTTTTTTTGCCCTGACCTGTCAAAACTTTATAAATATTAAAATGAATAAAGTATTGTTCAAGTGTTTTCATACTTTTATTATGGATTTTCATTATCGACATATTTTTTGTAAAATTTTATTTAGGATCTTCTCAACTTATGATTGAAATCTTTATTTTGACCCATCGTTGCAATTGAGCATCATTACAATTTAGTCAAAACTCACGTTGGTCACCCACAATTATTAATAAATCATATCTCAATAATATCGCCATTCGTATTATTGACTTTTATCCAAAATGTTATGGCAATAGCTAAAATTACGTCATAATAATTGTGCACTATTTAGATCACTATGAAATCACGTCTCGATTGATGTTTGAGAACACCCTAAGAGAAAAAGATCAAAATTAATAAACGCAAAACTCTTGTAATTAAATTAAGTTTGTGATATACGTCATTATTTAGATAAAAAGCACCTTTTGAATGTGTTCCAGGTTGATGATGCCAAAGTAATTTATTCCAATCATTGCGGTTTATTAAAATTGGTTTTATAGTCTAGAATGATAGTTACTATTAAAGTCTAAATATTTAAATATACGAAATAATAAATTGTAATGAAAAAAGTTTGGGCAATGATTCCAAATAAATATGCACAGCGATAGCTAATAAAATAGGTATGCACAGTTTATAAAAAAGGTTCTTTAAACAAAAGAAGCTTTTATCTTAACGCGAAAAAAGAATAATAATAATAACGCTTCCCTAACCTAACATAAAAATGGGTTCTGCATTTAAAAATTAAATTTAATAGGCTTTGTTAACCGTACATATTTTTTGAAATTACTGTAGTAATGTTTGTACATATTCTATTTTGACGCACCCGTACCAGATTGGTTTCGGATGATAGTCCGGTGGCCGGAAAATGTCTTCGAATTTTTACGGTTTTTTTCTTTTTACTAAGACTTTATATTCAATTATAGTATAAAGCAATATTTAATACATTTACAACACATTCTAGAATATACTTGAATTTCGACATTATAATGATTTATTTCTTTTTAACCATTTAGTTTGTTTTCTGTGACATTCTTCGATAATTTATGTACTCTTTTTTCAATTGATCATTCTTTTGCCCTTCATTTCAAATTGATCGATATTTGGCTGTATGAAATTTGGTGAAATAGATAAGACTAACTTGTCTATCGATAGAGATTCGGATTTTTGTATCCTTCTTGAAATATTCAATGCGACAAGAAGTTGGCTATTATTGTTAACATTACTATTGATAAGTTGAAACATTTTAAATAGATATAATATGCTTATTACATTCTTCGTTGCTACATAAATATTAAATAAAATTCTGAATTGTTATCAATTAAATTTAAAATACCAACCTAATTTTAATATCACTTTTAGACGATCGAACATTGCTTATTTTCACATTTAGTTATTATAGCTTCAACTCGTGACTCATAAGCGACGAAAGTATTTGGCGAAGTGACTTGATATATTCTATTATTTTGTTTTGCCAAGTCCTAATTTGATGGTTTCTTGCATGTAATTAACGAAATAAAACTTACAATATAAAATACGTGCTTATAACAAATTTATTTTTTGCAAGAAAAACAAAAACAAACGAAAAACATTATTGATTATTAAAATTTAAATAATAAACTAATGACAATAAGTAATTTTATTTTATTTGCTAGACAACGTACGTACGTAAATACATAATTTTTGTTTCTAGTTCCGAATGTTGTAACATTCCGATTTAGCTTTCCGGAAGATCATCCGATCTCAACCTGGTACACATTTTCCCTGTTAAAAGAAAAAAGAAAATAGAAAGCTATCAAGTACAGGACGGTTGGTGAACGCAATATGAAATGATTTGTGTAGATCACTGTGGCTGATGTGGCTAATTATACTCTTAACGGTAGAGGAAAGTAAATCGTAATTTGAAACAATGATCTCGTGTCATGTAACCCAAATAAAGACCATAGTAAATTAATTGTAACTCAGTCACATCTAGAAATCTACAGAAATTAGCACACTATAGAATAAGAAAATAAGATTGAGAAGACATAAGAATGGTAAAACCAACTAACAGACCATCTGTGAACACCTCGATTACCGCTGTAGGTCCAGACTTTAATCTTTTGCTAATTTAGGGTTTAAAGTCTGTCGGTTAGAGTTCGATAAGTTGTGTGACCCTCTCCTGAACCTGGCCTGCATTTTGCTGCAAACTAATTAAACGCATTATAAAATTGCTAATTTGGTAATTCGAATGAGCATTTGTGCATATTACGAAAGTACTTATTTTGCGCAAAGTTTTAACTCTCTACATAGCGACCAAATATACACAATAACACACATCTAGTTTATCTAATTTACATATTTCATAATGGCAATGACAGATGACCTTTGTGAGTGTGAATTTTTTTTTAATTTTTCCTATATTTATAATATTTTATAACATCTAATTATTTAAATAACAATAAATTAAAATTCAAGTGACTTTTGTAATCAATGAGAAAATTGTTATTTTGGGAATTGGTGCCGCATTAGTTCTTGCGATTGCATTTTGGATTTTTGGACGATGCAAGGATCCGCGCGGAAACAATTTTATCGTATTTAATTGCATCGTGATATTATACGATTTTATTTTTGAAACTATATTTTTAATAAATAATTCTCGTGATGTAGAATTCTTGTTTCTCCCTACGTATGTATTCATTTTGCTAGTAGTAATTACTGAATTCCACTGAATTTTAATAATTTATTTATTATTATTTTGACAGGTTACTTGCGTTCTTTACTCCATTGTTAGTTAACCTTTTGATGGCGTTTATAACAATAATAGTACAATGCTGCATAGTAAAAGATAAAGCATTTAAAGATTGGTTCAGAGAACATTTTCGTTTTGCTGCTGTCATGACGATCTTAGCTGCTGCAGACATTAACTTTTTACGATTAGTGTGTTCAGGTTATGGTAAATTTTCAATGTTTTCTTGTGAATTTTCAACAAGAACTGCAATGAAAATGATAGTTTTAGTCGAATTTTTTAATTCGTTTATTGAAGATATTCCTCAACTTACTATTCAGGTATTTATATTATACAATACATATTTTGAACTATTTTTAATTTACTAAATTTTTATTTTCTTTTAAATCTAATACCTTGTAGATATTATATAAACTTAATACAACTGGTTACTCCACCATACCATTTATAAGTTTAGTATTAAGTTCCTTGGTTTTACTTCTCAATATAATCGTACGAATATATGACGTCATAGTTCAGTTCGCTTGTGACGGTTATTAGACAATAATTAATAATAGCACATAATACACAATCCCTAAAACATTAAAAATATTAAAATATTAATAGCATTTATAATCAAAATTATTCTTACAATTCTTCTCATATACAACATCAATCTGTTTACTTTATCGACTACCCTGATTCAATTATTACGTATTCCATTTATAATTTAATTTCATATAATTTTTTTTAATTATACAATAAAAGACTATTACAATAATACAAAGTAGGAATTTTGAACATTTACTTCTAAACTTTAATTTGTTATTTGAAATACTAAATTGCTTTACATACTAACTTTTGCACTTATTGTTACAACTTCTTTTAAAAAATTTTTTAATAACTACTTAATTAAACTTAGTAAAAAAAATTTATTTTAATTTTATACTTTTGTAGAATTAAAATAAAGAGGTTTATTAAATTTAAATAGATATTGTAATTGTTTATAAATTTTTACTACTGTAAAAGTTTTAAAAAATTAAATTTTTGAATTAATTTAAAAATCACCAGGGGATAAAATTCACCGGCCTAAGAATTGTTAGGGTTAGGTTAGGGTTAGGGTTAGGGTTAGGGTATTAAGAACTTTTTTTTATATAAAATAACATAGAGCTAATAAAAGGTCCCAATCTCAGTTTTTGTAAGGTTTTCAGGGGTTCTGAACATTTTTACTTAGAGTACCTAATCCCGTTTACTTAGTACATTATTGAGATACAGCACCCTGATGAATTTTATCTCCGGTGAGCATCAAAATCGTCCTAAATTTTTTTATTTTTTTAACTTTAAATAAAAATTTTTAACAATTCTCGATTCAATTTTATTAATTTTTTTATTTTAAATTTAAAATTTATGGGAGCCCTAATTTCTCTCATAGTTCTGATTGGATGCATGAAATCCATCTCTAATTGGACAAACCCGATCATGTTACCACAAAAAAATTCAAAAAAATTCTAATGCATTATTCAATCTTCATTTTTTAAACAATACAAAAAGTTATTTTTTAACATGCCATTTCATCTTTACTCAATTCCATCTTCACTCAATGCTATAAAAATTATTTTTAATGTGTATTCAATCTTTATTTAAAATGAAAATTTCTTAATTTAATCCATTTATTATTTAACATTACAAATTTTTTTTGCTGGCAAAAATTAAAAATAATTGAGAATTCAATTTAAACTTAGAGAATAAGTGCTTCTATAAAAACTAACATGAGGTATGTGTATATGATCTCTTTATCATTTTAAATAAATGCAAGAAGATTATTGTAAAAAAAAAAAAAAAAAAAAAAAATTTAAAAAAAAGCAGGTTAAAAAAAAGAGAAAGAGGAATTAAAAAAAATTAGCTTGGGAAAAAAAAGCATCTTATCTATTTTAATTTGCTGTCACCTCACCTTAGACAATTTAATTAATGTACATATTATTATAAAATATGGATTTTTCTATTACTACTTACTATTTGACTCAATGAAAATCTTATATACTTTACAGAAACTAGCTATTTTTTTCAATAGAGTTAAGATCATCTTAACGATATTAATACAATTATTAAAATTGTACCTTATAATAATTTTATAA